TTAGTAACAAGTGCATCGCTTCTAGTAACAAGTGCCTTACTAGTAGTAACAAGAAGCCATTAGAAACAAGAAGCTATTAGTAACAAGTGCATCGCTTCTAGTAACAAGTGCCTTACTAGTAGTAACAAGAATCTATTAGAAACAAGAAGCTATTAGTAACAAGTGCATCGCTTCTAGTAACAAGTGCCTTACTAGTAGTAACAAGAAGCCATTAGAAACAAGGGCATTACTACTAGTAGCTCCTGGCAGCCACAGGCACTGCACCACCGGGCACGGCCGTTGGACTGGATGATATACGGCAGAATCTGTCGAACGTCTTGGTCTTTTTCATCGTTTCGGACGTGGGAGTGGAAGGAGAAGTGCTGGCAAAACAGTCGCTTTGGCAAATTCTTTCTATTTCTCATCTCAGAACCCAAGTCTCGGCTCCCTGGTTTGTTACTACTAGCGTCCTTGTTACTACTAGTAAGGCACTTGTTCCTAGAAGCGATGCACTTGTTACTAGTAGCTTCTTGTTACTACTAGTAAGGCACTTGTCTCCTCAAAATGGTGGAAGCTCCCTGGCTTGTAGTTCACTCCACATCATCTGGCTAAAATCGGTTGCGGTTGGCTCCCTCCACGGGCATAAACAAAAACATCTGTGGGGCTGACATCACGGCGGAGGTAGAGTTGGCCAGGCTAAGACAGAGACTTCTAGGGTCTGGAATGTGGTACGGTCTAAGCACTGCCAAACTGGGTGTCAGAGACTTCTATTCTGAGCGTTTTCTTTTACATGTAAGAATAAAAAGCGCTGTGAACCCCTAATAAGCCATGGCCTCCAACCTAGTAGCTTCTTGCTACTAGTAGTAATGCCAGGAGCGCCCCTAGTAGCGTTCTAGCTACTAGTAGCGATGCCCTTGTTACTAGAAGCGACCTCCAACCGAATGAAGCGGCCTCCTAGGTCTGCCAAGCTTGGTGCCAGGGCCCACTTGGTTGGAGAGACACACGAACTTTATTCTGAGCTGCAGAAGTGGAAGTCTGTGGCGATCATGCGAGGTACAGCCTACGAAGCACCAATTCTACGAAGCACCAAGGAAGAGGACCGCAAAAACATCTCCAAAATTCCCGACGGCCTGCGGCAAATCCACCGACATATCACTTACATTGGGAGTCCAGAAGGTCTTCGTGACAAAGAGGCGATCCCCAAGTTTGCCGAGATTTTGGCCAAGAAATCCTTGGAGTCTGTGGGTGCCCAAATGGTTTTTCGAACCTTGGCAGATGCTTTCAAGAAGCTGAAAAATCGAGTGGCGCACAAAAAGTCCATCGTTTATACAGTCCATCAGATGTTGATGCGCTACAAGCGTCACATGCTGCGCGAAGACACCATGCAGATGTGCGTGGAGAAGTTCTTGGTGAAGATCGGATATGAAATCCGCATCATGCCCACCAAAGAGAGGGAAGCATATTGCAACCTACTGAAGTATTGGGATCAAATGAAGGTCTTGTCCAAAGAAGACTTGAAACTCGTCAAGTGGAGGTGGGACTGCCTGGAGGCAGAAGACTTGTACAGCGATTTGGAGTTTGAACCAACCTCCGAGTCCAACCGCTGATTCACTGCGCAAAACAGAAAGCACGGCGTAAGAGGTCTCACATACACATGCTGCAACAACCTACTAATAGAAACGGAATCTATGAATGTCTCTCTTTTTGGACAATGGCAATCCTATAGTAGCAAAAGGACGCTGCTAGTAACAACGGGCATCGCTACTAGGAGCAAGGACGCTACTAGGGGCTCCTGGCCTTGCTACTAGGAACAAAGGATGCTACTAGGAACAACGGGCTCCTGTTTGCTCTTTTTGTGGCTCAAATCTAGTCGAGTTTTGGCTCTGTGAGGCCGGAAGGATCAAACGAATTCACTTCGGCTGGACGATTCGCTTAACACAAATATCTCAAAAAGCATCATGTGCTCCTAGTAGCGATGCCCTTTGCTCCTAGTAGCTTCTTGTTACTGGTAGTAAGGCCCTTTGTTACTAGTAGCGATGCCAGGAGCCCCTAGTAGCTTCTTGTTACATCATGTGTTTTAAGATATATTCTAAGTAATACGTCATCAATAATGAATTACCATTCTTTTGGGAAGGGATACGGCGTGAGGAGAACTTAAGTAGCTAGCTAGCTACGGACGTGCTAAGGAGGTGCCTACTAGCAATGGCCTCTAATAACGATGGCCTCCAAGCCTATTTGGAAGATATTTTCTTGGAATTCAATGTCTTTCGCCAGACGTGTTTCAGGCCCGCCCTGAAGGGGGGACCAACGCCCAGAACTCAGCCGTGAGACGACACGGGACATCAGGAGGAATCTGGTCGTTCGTTTTGCAACACATGGAGACACAGGTTTGTTTTCAATTAGGTTGGAGGCCATTGCTAGTAGGTTGGAGGCCATCGCTGTTTTCTGCTTGTTCTCCGTTTCTTACATGGCACGTAAGGCCAGGATGAGTCAGTCTTTGCCTCGAATGTTGTCGTTTGCACAGCGCCAGAACATACAAATACGGAGACGTGCTTCTTGTCAGACAGAGAATACTAAAATAGATATGTGTGGGAAGCTGGATCTAGTAACTAGATTCTACTAGGTGGAGGCTACTAGTAACAAGAAGCTCTTTAGTATGTATTTGAAGCTCTAGATCTAGATATGTGCGGAACTCGAGTCAGGCGCATTGGGTTTTGGTAAGGCCTCTAAAGCAGACGCAACGGACGGCCCATGCAGCTTGGTGTCCATCAGAGGCTTGCGAGATGTCGAGAGGTGGCTGTAAGAGGCATTTGAATGTCACACTCTTGTTACGAAACTAGAAAAAAACTTCTTGCTCCTAGTAGCGATGCCAGGAGCCCCTAGTAGTGTCCTTGCTCCTACTAGCGATGGCCTCCAACCTACTTGTGCCTCCACCCAATAGCGTCCTTGCCAGTAATGTAAAGAAGGAACAGAGGAGGGACAAGAAAGAAAAGACAAGAAAAAGGGCACATAAAGAAAACGACAATAAGGCACTACGACAATAAGAAAAACAGAAAAGATAGACGAGCAAGGGCACAACTACAGTATCTAAAGGAATTCACCGAAGTCAGCGATCTTGTTCGTAGTACCATGCTCCTAGGATGCTACTAGGGGCTCCTGGCATCGCTACTAGGAACAAGGATGCTACTAGGAGCAAAGGGCACTTCTACTAGGAACCAGAAGCTACTAGAGAGAAAAAAACTAGTAGTACGGCCAGGAGCCCCTAGTAGCTTCTTGTACTTGCTAGTGACGTCAAAGTCCTGCATGCTTGCAAAGATGCATTTGAGAAGGCCACTGTAGGAGACCTACTTCCTTCATAGCAAGTAGCCGAAAGCTGGGGCAGAAAGTGAACCTTTAGGATTGTAATCACTTGTTCTTGTGACGACAATCAAAACTCCGAAATTGTTCAAAATCACCTTGTTACACATTCTTATTCTTGTTCTTTGCAGGTTGGAGGCCGATAGAAGGTTCCAACATGTTCAAACCATCACTCTTAGCTTGGAGGCCATCGATATTAGGGAGGCCATTGTTAGTAGGTAGGAGGCCATCGCTCTTAGGCCTTGTTCTTGAAGTTTGAGTATTTCAATGCTATTAAGTTATATTTATTGTTTAAAATAGCTTCTTGCTACTACTAGTAAGGCCCTTGCTCCTAGTAGCGATGCACTTGTTACTAGTAGCTCTTTTGCATATTTCAATGCGAATTTGTGTCACCAAGAGAACATTCAGACGCGAGAGCTCTGCCTTACGTAATGCACTGCCCATTGGTGCTAGAAATGGAGCTCTGCCTTAAGAATGCTTATATGCTTCTTGTTACTAGTAGTGTGGCACTTGTTACTAGAAGCGATGCACTTGTTACTCATAGCCTTATTGTTACTACTAGTAAGGCACTTGTTACTACACGCAAAGTGCCTGTGTCGTCTACCGGTGGTCCACGCCGACGGGTGTTGGTTGCTGTCACCTTTCACAGGCCGCTCCCAGTCTGCTCGCTTTTGGCACAGCCTCGTCCGCTTCGGCCGGGGAACACGGGAAGACGAAGAATGCCGAGGGTATCGCAGTGAATCAATCAGATCAATGACCAACATGAGTTCTTGTTTTGAAAGCATCTTAATGATAGTTTTTTTTGGATGGCGGCCATTGCTTCTAGGTCCTAGGTTGGAGGCCATTCCTCTTAGGGTGGTGTCAAATCCTACTTGGCTATAATTCAGTTTCCCTGAACATCTAGGAACCAAATGAATAGACGCGTGAGCTATCCTGCGTCCTGTCGGTAGTAGCTACTTAAGCTACTACCTACCTCTAGCTACTACCTCACCTCTACACGCCCTACTCCCCATTTGGTTGGGCTCATTCTCGAGGCGTCAGATGCCACCTTGGACTTCATGTCCTTTGACGCCGGCAGGACGTGGGATGCAGATCCCATCACTAGCCATCAAATGATGTCCAGCAGAATGTCATAGAAGAAACATATTTAAACATAGAAAAAATCACCACATGCTTGTTTCGTGTCTTTAGTCTATTGGAGGTTTATAATGTTGCATCTTCGAGAACAATGCATCTCAGGTAGTCAAACACTTCCGTTTCTAAGGTCTGACCGGACTAGTGCCGTGTTCTCAAGCGTTTTTGCCGAACGCAGGAGTGGCGCAGATATGGACTTAAAGTGCTCAGTTAGAACGGAAGGCCGGTGAAACGGAACTAGTAGCTTCTTGTTACTAGTAGCGATGGCCTCCAACCTAATAGCGATGGCCTCCAACCTAGAAGAGATTGCCTCCAACCTAGTTGCGATGGAATAGCAGTATGTGTTTCATAGTGTCGCATCAATAGCTTTGCGTTTCATGGTTTTAAATAAGAACAACTGATCTCATACTCTGTTGATGCATATCGATGTCATGGTCTGAGCTGCGCATGTCAATTGTCACGCCCTGGGATTTGCAGCATGCATCTCACATTGTCACGTCTCAAAGTGATGCACCTTGCTACTAGTAGCGTCCTTTGTTACTAGTAGTAAGGCCAGGAGCCCCTAGTAGCTTCTTGTTCCTAGTAGCGATGCACCTGTTACTAGTAGCTTTTTGTTACTAGTAGTAAGGCCAGGAGCCGCCCCTAGTAGCGTCCTTGCTCCTAGTAGCGATGCCCTTTGTTACTAGTTCATTTGTGCGTGAGAGTTGCACACAAAGATGTGCAACTCAACGCAATGTGAGATATATGGTTCATATTTCAATACATGACAAAGTGCTATCTCAGAGTATGAGAGTTGATCTGTGCATCTCCCGCTGTGACATGCATGTGAACTTTATCATAGTGTGAGATACGTTGTTGATATTTCAATACATGACATGCAGGGCTATTCACGTGACAGTATGAGGTACTATGAGATACATGCTGCTAAACCTCTCAGATCATGAGATTGACTTGTGCATATCATACGGTGGCAAACATCTGAAACTGTGTGAGGTATGTGTGTGTTTTTTTTCAAACATGAAGTGCAACAGTCACAATCCCAGGGTTGGATAGATTTTGTATGCGCCTCGCAAGATGAAGTTACCTTAAGATGACACCATCTCAAGACAACATCTTTTGAAATATAATCATCTTCAACATGGGCTACTGGAAGATTAATCATGATTAATCTTGTACAACCACACACTCACAAGAGTCCCTTCTCAAAGGAAAAGAAACTGTCTATAGAGAGAAGGAAAAATCAAACACTAAATAGATCTTTTCCTTTGAGAAGGAGAGTGGACTTGTCCAGGTGGGCGACGTTTCTCCGCGCTTTCCTGGGGCAAACTAGGTCATGAAGCGGCGTCCGGGACTCAGGGGAAGAAACGGACAGCAATCGTTGTATGTCCTTTGTTCGCTACTAGGAACAAGTGCATCGCTAGTAGTAACAAGTGCCTTACTAGTAGTAACAAGAAGCTATTAGTAGCAAGCAAAGTATATAGCATCCTTTGTTCCTAGTAGCAAGGCCAGGAGCCCCTAGAAGCGTCCTTGCTCCTAGTAGCGATGCCAATTGCTCCTAGTAGCCTTCTTGTTCCTAGTAGTAATGCAGTAGTAAGGTGCCTTGCTCCTAGTAGCGTCCTTGCTACTAGTAGTAATGCCAGGAGCTACTAGTATCTTCTTGTTACTAGTAGCGGTTTAGACGATGGCTCATAGGATTGAACACAACATGCTCAGCTTGGGTCTTGGCCCATTGGCCCTTGCAAGTTCAAGCAACAAGTTGTGCCAACCGTTGTCATGTTTTGTGGAGGTAGTATTTTGCCTATCAAGCTCTGGCCTTGTCTTAGGATCATGCCAAGATCCAGTGCTTTCTGCGACTCAAACCTTGCTCTTGGTTTTGGCAGCCGTTTCAACCAATGAAGCAGCAGACCTGCTGTCTACAAAGGTCTTAGAACGGACCAATGGACCAACCCACAAGAAAAAACAAACTACTAGGAGCAAGAAGCTACTAGGAGCAAAGGGCATCCCTACTAGGAGCAAGGACGCCACTAGTAGCTCCTGGCCTTTCTACTAGGAGCAAGGAGGCTACTAGGAACAAGTGCATCGCTTCTAGGAACAAGTGCCTTACTAGCAGTAACACTGTTTGCTATTAGA